CATCCGAAACGTGTTCCAGTCGGGCTGCGTACGCTCCTTATAAGGACGGCCAACCTGGTCTTCATAGACAAAGACTGTTTGACGAAATGTGCTGTACCCGAGGGTGGCACATGCGAAAATATTTTGGGCTCTCCGTCCGGGCCTCCAGGAAATAGTCGAGGGTGCTTTGATACATGCCCCCTCTGATATTCGTGGATTCTTGATTGCGCCCTGCGGCACGATGTAGCGCCATATTTGCATCACCACCGAACAAATCAACTTGATTATGCAAGCAATCAGAAAGCACAGTTCCCAGGCCTCGTGAGCAAGACCAACTTTACCGGCCGCGACCTTGCTGTCCAAATGGCAAACACAGACACGAATCATGTCGCTGCCAGCTCTCGTCAAAGTAACTGTCATGGCCGAATCAGGAAAGCCTTCCTGGGTTGCCTCGTCCACCGATGGGAAGAGTTTTACCAAAGGTGATCTCCACGAATTATCATGTACGTAAGTGGAAGATGATGATGGGCTACCCCGATCAGTGTCGAGCCTGCCAACTGTCTCATCTTGGACCCAACAAGATTTGTGCGGCAACCAACAAGAAGATCTGCAGAACGGTTACGGAAGGTTTCCCAAACACGACAATACAGGAATTGCAACTCGGAATCAGAGATCGCTCTGGTGCCTTGGCCTGGGCGATGCTCTTGACCGGTGCTTCATAGCTCTCTCCACTGTCGTCATAGTCGATGATATCGGCACATGCAGAGGGAGCAGAGCGCTTACGATCCTGAACGAAGTTCCCCAGACCAAAACGATGAAGAATTGGATCCGGCGTCTTGTCCAGTGATAAGTCCCGGATCTCTTCCTCGTGGAAGTAGTGAAGCATTGCATTCATCAGTTCTGCCCTTGTGGCAGGCTGGCCGCTCTGACTTAACTCCCTGACTCGATTAAGGAGTGAATCGTGAACTTCAAGAACACATGCGCGGACTTCTGAGGCCTTCTCCATAAGACGGCCGTCAAGAGTGCTCCAAATATCGCCGGGCCTGAAAACGACATCCATGCGACGGGGATGCTTATCATAGATCGGGTCCATGTCGCACATCGACCGCATCAAGTCTTCCTCGGAGAGGTGGAACTTGTGCTTTGGGTGCTGTGGTGGTTGTACTCTCCATCGCATGTTCTGCACCTTGAAAGCGCCCACGTGGTCGCAAGAGCTTACGAGCACAACGATGAGGAATTTCCGAACCTGAACCAGGAACAGAAGACCTTTTCTGGGACTCGTATTCTGAGATTGACTCAGACTGTGAGCAGGAAATCTTCGAGAATGAAGATGCAGGACCTCCAGAACTGTCGGAGGAAGATCTAAGGAACTTGGACACCAAGGCGATGGTCACGGAGATCGACCGCCTCATGGCAATGAAGGCAGTTCAAAAGACCAAGGCCCAGCTACAGTGCTTTGCGCACTCCGGCTGAAGGCTCGCACGAGGTCCTGCTGAGCAACCGGGACGAGATCCGGTTGTGCGGGCGGGGAAACACTGAGTGCGGAGTTGGTTCACTAGCTCCGAGCAAGACCTGGCAGTGATGGTAGACCAAGCAACCAACAAACAAGGAGCCTCCTTTCGCCAGGCCATGGTTGGGTTGCGTGGGTGCGTGGGTGGGTGGGTGGGTGGGTGGGTGGGTGAGTGGGTGGGTGGGTGGGTGGGTGTGGGTGGATGTGGGTGCTGGTGCGGGTGCGGGTGTGGGTGGGTGTGTCTGTGGGTGGGTGGGTGTGTCTGTGTCTGTGTCTGTGCGTACTCGTGTGCGCGCGGGTGGGGGTGTGGGTGTGTCTGTGTATGTGGGTTTGTTGGTTTGTTTGTGGCGTTTCTGTTTTCATTTGAGTGTGCGTGAAGAGATGGGGGATTATCCTCGAGCATAATCACACGGCTACGCAATGGTGGATTGCTGAAGCCAACAGAGGCTTATGCAGCACAGCAACAGAGAAGGCAGGCCTCCGTTTCCGCATTTGCCCAGGGCTTGCTTCCAGCAATTGCTCTTGCATGTTCTTGCGGTGGTGGGATGTCCACACTTGTTTCGAAGTTTGGCTGAGGTGACATGTCTTTCCTTTGGCTACGCCTTGGTAGGTAGCTCCAACGACCGGAAGTTGACTAAGCTCTGCATTAGTTTGGTAAAAGTCGTCGATCCAGTGGATGGCCCTGGAAAGACCAGATCCCACAAGCCGCAGCGGATGTAGGCACGAAAATAAGTTAGAGAGATGTCCAGGTCGGTCGTTTCGTCCGAATTAGCCGATAAAGCATAGCAGTGTCATTGAGCCGAACAAACCTGTACTCCCCATGTCCCAGTGTGTAATGCTGCCTGCTCGACCAACTCGCACAGCGAACGCCCGGCTAGCAAAGGGTGTAGCGGTACCGTTAGTGCCGGGTGCAAGTTGTTGGAGAGGAAAATGGGAGGACCTAATCTGTGGTCTGCGGGTTGTTTGCCTCACGGCATGTACAGGGAATTAGGCATCTCCTTTGACTGCGGTGACCCTTGACCACGACAGTGGGTCGTGTCATGATTGCAAAAAAGAAAAGAACCCTAAACTCCCTCAACCACCAATACCCTAAACCCTAAATCTCGACTATTGAACCCCATACTCTTCAACGCTTGCCTAGCCTAATCATTCTCAGACTCGGGGGCTTGTCGGCCATTGCGTGGACTAGGCTTTGGGGAGAGCAACAGTTGCCCGGCCGGTAAAAGGGTGGCTGCGGGCCCTATGTTTATGAAGTTCAGCTGCTCCGGAATGGTTCGGGCGGCGGCGGCGTGATGCGAACCGGAGCTGCAGGGAGATCCAGTTCTGAGTCTGAGATCATGATTGCCTATATGTAGGGTAGCGCCGCGTATCTGTTCCTTATATAGTTTGGTGTTGCGGCGGCTTAAGTTGTTTTATCGTGTGCTCGGCGGCCGATTACTGGCCCAGTTTTCCGTGCATCACGTAGTGTTGCGAAAGTTTGAACAGCATTTTGCAAGCAGCATGATTTGATGGGTTTGCGATGGTCTTACATTGTCGCTCGACGAGCAGCAGCTGAAACCAAGTGTGTAGGAAATACCTTTAGGGTCGAGTCTGCCAGCAGAAGTAGGTTGAGGTAATCGTTGAGAAAGCGCAGCATGGTTTGTGGTCCTTCAAGTTTTTGATTTGGCGTGCTTCGCTGCCTCAAGACAAGATCATCAGTTTGGGAGACTTCCAGGTTGCGAAACTCTGGTAAAAAGTCGGCGCATGATTTGGTCGTTGTCATAATAACTATTGCTTGCTCAGTCTCATTCCAAAGCCGAGCCCTTGACATTCTTGGGTGGCGGCAAAGGCCTTGAGCTCAGACAGTCAGGCATCGATTTTGGCATCTGCACCTCAGCGAATCTGGCAAGTAGCCATCGAGCAATGCCAGAGGCTCCCAGAAGGAATTGAGGTCCACGGCCACTCTTCCTTCGTCCCATTGTTCTTGTCCCTCTGACTCCGTGCGAATGGCCCACACAAGATCGTTTGAGGCCTCGTCTCAGCAGGCGACAGCTTTCTGTATAGGGTTTATGGATGTTCAAAGTCATACGTAGGTGTGTGACAAAGTCTCCCACATGCTTCAACGAACGACACCGATGCCGAGCCGGCATTCTTTAATTATGCATCGTTGATTCTGCTCCCTCATGCCCGCACATGCATGCCCCCACACTCCCACCCCCCAATGCCCACCTGCACTCGTGCTCACGACGTCCTTGACTAGCCACGTTCTAGGCTCAATCATCTGCATAAAAACTTCACATTCTCTTTCTTGAAAAGGCTCTAGTGAAGATCTTTCTCGTGGGTTCTGCGGCACATTCGGGTTCGATGGCTTCTCGAATTCGGAGTTTTGTGTTTACTTTGTCGATTGGAACAGTTACAGCACTAGTACCCGGGCTTCCATCCTGGCCGACCTGTAGTTGGTTGGCAACGTCGACCAATTTCTCTCACAAAGTTTTCGAACTCTTCGGGGAAGTGTTCGGCAGGCATCGAGAAGACACTCCAGGGCGTACGAGTAACTCTGACGCGGGCAAGTGATGCGTAAATGCTGGTCACAGCGATTCGGTTGCTTGCTCGAGGCATGCTATGACTCAGAACAGCAAAGGGCCGGGAGAGCCCTTTGTCGCAAGACCAGCCGCCTGGACTGCACTGCAACGGCGTGCCTGCCAGGCCTCACCACAGCCAAGGCCCAAGAGTCTCTGCGTCAGCTCCTGAGATGATGGTGACATGACCCTACCATACCGTATCGATTAACTGCCGACATCTGGAACTTTGGGTTCTCTACGAAATCAGCTTCAAGAGACTGAGGTTGAAGCAGTAGTCAACTGCAACAGAGCACGTCTGGCCTTGACAAAGCGTTTTGTCCCAAACACGGCAGCGTGTATTGTATGAGAAAACTAAGTAGGCGAGTGTGGGGCGCACCTGGCGCTTCTGATTCTCTGCACCGGGCTGCTGCCGCTGCACGGTCACCTTTGTGGCAAGCCCAAAACACCATGACAATTCCGGACAGATCGAGCATGACCAGGACGTGGAAAGACAAGGGACATGGTCCTTTTCACGCTTGATCTCACAGCGTGAATGCTGCATACAAGTGCTCCCTTTTTCTGCCGCTCGGCACTACGGATTTCTCTCAGATCTGAGCAGCTGGGCATCTCAATCGGCTGTGACTGCTGATGACATCTCAGGACTTGGTCCCCTGGACGGCACCAAGGTCGCACTCTGGCTGCCTCATGCAGAGTGAGAAAGCGTCCGAGTGTTGTGTGTGTGTGTGTGTTTTTCCGTCTCATCTGCGACCAGGTCGAACACCTTCTCTCGTCCACCTAGATTTGTCTGTATCCAGCCCGCAACAGAGGCCGGAGGCCGGGGCGTTTTGGTTGCGTTGCTTGGGACCATGTTGGTACATTGTGGCCCCGGCCCTGGCCTCCCCTCGCCTGCGTGAAACCCCCGTCCCTCCGAAACGATAATCTCGGAGCCGCGGTTAATAGTTAAGTTATACTCACCCTAAAAGAAGATTCAGTTTTGTCTGCATAGTGACCACTGCTGAAGCATGGCCAAGCTGCACGTACTGGCCCTGTTCGCGCACAGCCTTCCTGAGAAACTGCCCTGGTGTCATGCTGCACATACTGTACAGACGAAGAAATGTTCCAACAGAACGACAGGTTAGAGGCAATTAGACTATGACTACGGCTCATTGCGGCGAGGCAACTCTCATCGTGCAGCAAAGTTTCTTGCTCAAGTCCTGGCTTGTCCTGACCACCTCTTCCAGAGGGAGAACATCAAAAGCCAGGCTGTCCACCTTGAATTGGCAACTGTGACAGCCGGTCCGAAAACCTAGCTACAATCAGAGTCGCGCCGCCTGCACTACCGCTACTGCAGCCGGCAGGCCCGATGTTTTCCTGCATAAAGGGCAAAAGTCGACGCAAGTGCCTGAGACCATCCTATCTTGGTTGAAGCGGCTCAGAACGTTTCGAGACTGAAAGCCACTAGTCATGCCAAGGCCAAGGAGCGACCACAGGTGGCCCCAGCCATTTGCCACTCGAACTGAGCATTTGCAGAACTCCAGTCATCAGCAGTATGTACATCAGGATCACCTGCCAGCGCTTGATATTCCAGCTGTGATGGAACAGCGACTGTCGGCTGAATCAGCTGTGAAGCCGGAGTGCCAAGAACAGGTAGCTTATCCCATGGACCCACAGAACGCCACCAGTGTCTGGTTTTTTCGACTCAGCATACACCACCTTGGAACCAGAACGTTCCCTCTTCAGTTTTCTCGCTTCCGCTCATCAGGTCTGCACTCTTCGCGCTCTGTGCGCTCTGCTCCAGCCAAGAGTCGAGATATGTATAGCTGGCGTGCGACAGGCTCAAGGATATGAATGAAAATACCAGAATAAGTGGGGAGCATGAACAGAACCTGCAGGTTCGTGCAGAATTCAGTTTTCTAAGGCTGGGGAGTTTCTGCTAGTGCTGCGGCCGAGCAACGCAAACGTGATTGCAGAGATCAGAAGTGACGAGGCCATGCGAGCTCCAAGTCCTGCGTAGGACATCACGGAGAGACTTCCTGAACATGGCATGCGTTCGTAGTCTGCTCACGGTCCATAGCTCGCTGGATCTTCAGGTTCGCTGTACTCCTTCGCCTCCTGACATATCTGACATACAGCTTACGCCACCTTACGCCTTCATGCTTACGCTTTCATGCCATGGTTGCCCCCGTGTTACCAACCTGACGCTCATGCCTCCATATGCCTCCAAGCCGGCCTTCTCCGACATTGATAGGAAGAGTTTGCAAAGATGGAACCTGAGGAGGAAAGGGGTGCAAGCGACTTGCCTGCTTGCTGGCAGGCAATAGCCGAACAGGCCCATACACACAGTCTACTTGAATTTGCGCTAGTTTCGAGCTCGTGTGAGTGGCTTCCAGAAGTTCGCATTTCTGACCAGCTCCATAAATGGCACCTGCGAGCCGAGCCAGGAGCGCTGATGTCAAAAAGGAGCTGCAAGCAGAGTCACGTCGGATCCAAAAAAACTGAGGTCGGAAACGATCCATCCGAGGACCATATAGTTGAAGTAGAAATGGGAAGCCTCGGCTGCGTTTTGAGTCGTATCCACGTCAGGAATTCCCGGACAAACGCTTTTTTTGCCTGACTCTTTGCAAGTCAACATGTGGAGATTTCTGTTAGAGAGTTGGGCTGGATAGTTCAGACACTGCCCTCAGCAGGATCGCTTCCATTTTGGATCCGATTGGTGCGGGCATCGCAGTACGAAAGTGGTCTCCTGGGCTCCTAGCCGATGGCAGGAAATCCGCGAGGACACGGAAGATACGTCCCGGCTTCTGCGCAATGCTAACCTTCAGTGTGGCGATCCCAAGGACGTCACACATGAATTTGCATCTGGACGAGGTTCTGAGTTGGCTGCCAAAGTCAGGGTCACGCCGCGGCTCAGGGAAGTGACCAGCCTTGAAATTGACACCCACCCCCACCCAACTAACAGCTGGCCGGAAGCAAAGCTCAGGCTTGCATGGCAAGTGATGTGCACCCAATAGGTTTTTCGTTTTTAAACTTAGGCTGTTGAAAACGATTCTGGCTCCGATATTCACGACTTACACCTGCGATTTTAAGCACTTCAGGCCTCGCTAACCCAATACTGCGTCTGTAGAAGTGGCTCAGTTCGGGCTCCGCTACGGAACATGACATTAAGTATACAATCGTCAGCGGATGTGGGGGTCGGTTACCGTAGCCGCTGCTACAATAAATGACCACACAAGTCCCGGACGAATAGCATGGTGATTAGTTATTGAACACCAGCGTGCCGGTTGTTGTACAAGCTGCTACCTTTCGGGACAACAACGACAACAAACGGCCCGTTCGAGTTTCCCCAAACTCGGGCCTTAACGAGATACTTGTTCGAACAGTCTGCTAATGGGCCCCTGAACTGCTGAACCGCCCGGGGCTTGGGAAGTTGAACAAGTAGTGGGGCCCGTTTCGACTGGTCAACGGCCCCGAGTCCTGGAAAATTGAACAGTTCACGAGGCTCGCTTCCCTGTTCAACAACCCAAGCACCCGCGACGGAAAAAAAAAAAGGCATCATTCGTGCCAGGTTCGTTTTGTCAAAACCTGGCAGTAGCAGGCTTTTGCCTTCACTCCTCGTCAGAGACAACAGTAAAGCGGAGCAATTGCTTAATTTGCAAGACGTCCCTGATTATGTCGCTTTTGGGCCCGTGGCTTGCTGAGTCCTCTTGCCGCCCCAGGCTAGGTTTTCTTGACACCCTGAGCGGACTCAGTACCGCTTACCATACATTTAACAGTGTAACCACACAGGCAGCTCTAGAGCTGCATCTACTGCTACAAATAGTGTTACGAGGTTGGCCGTGCTGACCCACTCAGAGTTCTGCGCCACAGCTGGCATAGCCATGCAACGGCAAGGGGGAGCAGCTAAGCACCACCGATGTGGATTAGTTTTGAACCAGGCCATTTTGCGTAAAACGAAAGTCATCCAAGATGGCTATTAAAGTCAGTCAAGGAGCAGCAAGTCTGAACACAAATTTGTGTTCGAGCTTTGTTCATTCATGCCACCACTCTGAGCCATGTTCGTCAGAGTGAGAGTGAGATTTACTCTTGAATCTGTTTTCCCAACACTTACAAATTCCCAAGTTCGGCGCCGCTTCAGCCTGAGGACTCGCTGGAATCTTTGGATGTTTAACAACAAGGAATTGGAACCACCAGGACAAACTACACGAGGAGGTGCGGAAAGTGCCCCAGCGTCAGGGACCTGGACAGAGGATCAACCCATCTTCTCTTCTTACTGCATCAGCACAACCGAAACTTCGCGAGCGCATGAAGCAGCACAAGCATGCACAGACTCAGCGAATAGGAAACAACAACTAGCCAAAATCACAGCAAAAACCGAACCCTCTGCTTGTGGCAAAAGGTCATTACGCCGGTGGTTGCATGTGGCATTCGGTTAGGGCTGCAGCATGCTGCAGCTACATGCGAATTTAGGCCATCAGATCAAGGCCTCCTTTCTTTCTGTCCCTTGGAAGGAGATCCCGCCCGACAACAACAAAGTTCTGACCCCCGACTCGTAAAGCCTGCGCATCGACCACACCAGTCCAAAGCAACACTCAGCTGCCCATTAACCTCCGATACTGGAATCCTCACATACTGTGTCGGAATCATGCACCACTAACGGAAGCAAAAGGGTGCATTTGACCTCGAAGCTGTACCAGCTCTGCTCCCCCCTTCCATCATGGCAGCTCCACTTCATTGATTTCCTGCCTAGACTTTCGCGCCCGCCGCCCTAAACACATGAAGTATGGCCGAGGTGCAGCACAAACGTGACCTCATCTACACCAAATGAGCATTCGTAGGCCAGATAGCGCACATGATATACAAAGATGACCAGCAAGCATGCTCCGCACAACTACTCGCATGCACCCGAGCTACGAGGAAGAGACCGTACCATTTCCTTGGCTCAACAGCCGGACCATCCCTAAACTTTCAGCTGCAAAGCTGCCACGCCTAATGTGTCAATACATCCATCTTGGCACTTTGGAGCAGACCGGCCGGCGACCTCCAGGGCAACCATGCCCGCAGGTGCCGAAAAAGATGCACTTCATCGTACACCTTACCTTTCTGTAAAGCCCCCCTACGTCAAGTTGCTTTTCACACGCTACCGGTTACCGGCTGCAGGCAGGGCATTTCAGTGTCTCTGTGTGTGTGTGCGCACTACTGCTTCGGAGTCGTTGTATGTGTATGTCTGTCTGTGTGCTTGTCTGTGTCTGTTCTTTTTTGTGATTTCCTGTCTTCGGGGGAAAGGGGAGGAGCTGTGTTGTAAGAGGTCGACATGCGTGCGTCGACATGTGCTTTGGATTTGGTGTAGCCAAACAGAATTCCCAAATAGATCGTTTCACAGAGCTTTCGAAGCTTACTGACTTTAGGGCACTTTGGAAGTCTAGTGGAGGCCAGCTCTTTGCATCCAAAACTCTGCATCTTGATCTGCACCTGCGATTTGGCATTCTTCAACATTCAGGACATGCTCTTGACTCTTGACAAAATACTGAGGGATCGAGGAGGAACCAATTTTAAATCGATGCCTCCGTGCCCGACTTCACGCTCATCACGGTTCGGATGATGGCGTACATTGCAGATGGCAAAAATGCAAGAAACACCTTGGAGCAGGCAGGATCTCTTAATCCGGGATTCGCAGGCATGTGCTGCAACCGTGCCTTCAGCGCGATAGTCGCAAAGACTCCTGTCAGCAGCTTGTCCTTGCGCAGAAACCCGGAAAGTGAACATGCGCCCGGGTTTGTGTTCTAATTTCTTGCCATAAGCAGTTTCTTTAACTCAGAAGCGCCCTGGGCTCGTACTTGCAACAAAGCCAAAGAAACTATTTGGGGACAGCCACAACTGCATGACTAGCCTAAGTCGGCAGGAGTGGGAACATGTGGGAACTGGTAACTAGTGGTATTCGTGGTCACCACGAGCAGGAGGTATACAGGCCGATACGTATATTCTCAGGAGAACTAGTAATGCACTATAGGAGGCGGAGTACTGCAAGGTGGGGTCTAGGGCTGAGTTATGTCTTTAAGTTTAAGGGTTGATGGAGAAGGCTTGGCGGTCTGCCTTAAGGCAAGAGAAGCCGCGTGCCGCGAGCTGTGTGCTAGCCGGCCTTACTAATTTTCAGCCATACCCTGCCAGGCCAGTCCGCTACTCATTCGACTCTCGCAACTCGTTCATTACTTCAGATTCAGAGCGCCTTCGACCCCATTCCCAGCCGAACCGAGCCGGTCCCAAAGACCGAGTTTGAAATCCGAAATCAGACGCTGATTGCTCCTTGCTACTACCAGGGAGTGACCAGTGGTGTAGGCCACCACACGCGAGCTGCAGCAAAGTCTGACCTACCCTTCACTTAGATGCGATTGAGATTCCAGCCACATGTGCCGCTTCACAACCTCCTGAAAGTGCTCAGGACGTCGCGCACGGCTTTGCAACGTTCAGGTTTCAAGGTTGTGGATGGCTGCGGGTCTTCCGAGTTTACGGGGGCGACGGCTGGAGTCTGCCAGCTGTTTGAGATATTTTTGCATGTGCGGTACAGTATGGTTGCGAGGTTTTTCGGCTACGTAGGCCACCCTCAAAGGACCGAACCCTCCAAGAAGCAGCACCGGCCTCATGCGGTTCTTTCGCGGTCCGCCAATGCACATGCGTGCAAACCAACGACACCAAGATACACCAAGAATTCCTTTGCACGTGCCCCGGACCCAACGCCTCGATGTATCTCTTGGCTTCATTTACAACTTTTTGCTTGCAGCTGGCCATGTCAGCGTGTGTACTCCGAGAGTTTGTTCGGTGGTCCTTCAAAGTTGGAATCATCTCCTGCACCGCACCGAAGGTGGTCCAGCCTCTTTGCACACTGAGACACAGGCGCAGGTCTTGTCCATGTGCGGCTCTGGGGCCCTGAATATCTCAGCCCCAGCTGTGGTCCGAGAACCGTGCTCGATATAAGAACCACGAAGGGCACCCAAAGCGTAAAGACCTCCAAGCGGATCGATCTGCTACACTGTGGGGCAAGGCCAGTCAGCCTAGAGGTCAGAACGGAATCTGCTAGGTCGAGGACTCCCCATATAGCGGCCAAGCCGGCCCAATTCCACCCAGCAGAATTCATCTCTTCTTCCTTCAGCTGTGTCATGAAGCTATACTGACGTGGAAGCCGTCCACTGATGTGGCCACGTGGCCACCAACAACCGCTCAATCTCACAAGCAGTTTTCTGTTAAATCATACGCCGGCACATGAGGTACATCTTCTGGCGTGCAAAGCTAGGCTTTTCCCATCTACTAGGCTTTGCACCGGCGGTGTTGTTTACGGCTTTCCCTCAACTACGGGACAACCAAACATGTGGGAGAAATCCTGAAGGCTTCAAATCTCCAACGAGGGCCAGAACTCAAACTTTCGTTGAATCCAACAAAATTCTACCAATCGGTGCCATGGAGGCGGCAAGATTGGCATATATCCTCGGTTGGTAAGACCACGAATTTCTTGCAGAAAACATGTAACAAGACCTGGTCACACTACCACCGAGACATTTAGCCATGCATCAGATCATTGGGATCGGGAGCTGTTGTCATGCTGAAGTCGGCGACATCTCGTGTACACTGCTCCTGACAGGCGCATGGCGCAACTGGCAGAAACAAAAAGGCAAACGTTGATGGTGCAGAAGCTGTCCCGAGAAGCAAGCCGCTGCGAAAGCTCGTCGGTAAAGGTTACAAAGCCAGTGGAAGAACATACAACAGGATCTCCTGGGGAGCAGGGTTTCCCTCAGATTTTTCAGGATGGGCTGCCCTTGCAACCCTTCAACAGATACGTTTTGACATGTATATGATTATCTATATACACACACACACAGAAACATTAATACAAACAATGGACACTCTCACTAGCTGTTTTTCTACAGACCCACAAGCTGCGGACAAGTGCAAGTGTTATAGAAAACGCATGCTGCCGATATCCCTAAAACAGTGCCAGGCTTGATAAGCAGAGAAGAAATGCAGAAAATCCCACTGCGCATGTAAGAATTCCAACAATCAAACCCAACACATCAAAAAACTAAAAGCATCAACATTTAGCAAAAACTGCCAGAGAGACCGACTCCCAAGACTCCTAGAATTGGCACTGCGTGGTCAGACAGTCCCAGAATATCGAATACTGGCTTCAATTGTTTCTTTGTTTGTTTGTGAGTTTCCTTTTCTTGCCTCTTCCCTAGATGCTGTTTTCCGACACGCTTTTTCTTGCGGTCTTCCGGCCCTGGCGCAAATCACGATGGCATCACAATAAGATTTTCCATGTCCTTAGCCAACTAGCTACAGTTTGCAATGTTAACCGCATGCTGGCATTGGTGCATATACATCCGCTGCTGTTTTCGAACAAGGCAAGCTATATGTTCCCACAACAACCGACACAGAGTCCATCGGTATTTGCAGGGTTTTCGGCTTCCATCCGCAACAACACAGGGACACACGTGAGCAATTCCATGGTCGAGATTGAGGTTGGACCTGGGTGGGGCTACCATCCATATATGTATGTATGTGTATATATATACATAGGTGTGTGATTATCCCCACCTACGTTTTTGCATCTTCCCGCCGCGCTGAGGAAGTACAGACCCGTAGAATCGCAATTTCCAAGGGCTGCCGATTGTGGCCAGGCACAGGGCAATTAGGGATTCCAAGTTGCAATTAGGTAATCGCACTTCGTGCAGATAATCTACTGATTGCAACCTGCAAATAGTTAAGCTAAACGGCTAAACGTTCCATTCAAACAAACATAAAAGATGGTGCAATGCACTAGCATGCGATATAGCACAATGGCGGTTGATGTGGTGTACAATAATTGGGGCAAGAAACATGGTAGGACTCAAAAAGAGAAGGTAGCAGAAGGCAGACACTTAAGGCGACATATAGCACAACTTCATATTGATTTCGGCACACAATAAGCGATATACAGTACGTTTACAGTACATAAAACAAAACATAGAACATGTAATATGCTACGCAAAATGTATAGTCTACAATGCAACAGCAGCACATAAGACATCATGTAAACTAAAATGACAGGATACAATGCTTTTACAATGGCATAGCACAGTATGGTACATTCTGCAATTTCAGAACCACTTAATAGAACATGCAAACGAAGCATCTTTCATACAGTATACTCTATGATAAAACATGATAAAACCATAAATTCAGCTCGAATCCAACATGATAGAACATGACGTCTTGCAGTATACGCTGTCATGTGTGAAAGCATTAGATGCAACGATAAATGATTGACAACCACATGTATACTCCATTATGACACTATGCAACCTAACATCATCAGATACAATACGATATGATAAAAATGTGCTTTAATCTACAGTCGGACAAAATGGAAAGAAAATGAATCATTCCATGCTATTGAAATATATGAGATGATATCGCGTGATATAAGATAAAACAAGGGGCACAACAACACTGTCGAACGAAGCTTTTGTTAACATAAGCTGTATGACCTAATATGATATATGCCTGATTCAACATATTTTTTAAGACAGCATAAGACAATGCTTGTAGGAGTATAAAAACATATGCAACACAGCACAATATAATAGCACATGGTGGGCCAATGTACTACATTAACAGCTATATAATTCGTAACAGAATTTCGCATATGACACTGGCAAGCAAATCGTAGAAAAGCGGAGCCTTAGTGTAGCTTTACAGCATGGTATTTAGCATAGCACAGATAATACAGTATAGAGTATTGTAGATCGTACATAGCATTCAGACTATTGCTGCAGACTAGTAGAGAGAATATAGTTTACGATATCGTATGTGGGACGTATAGTGTTTCGTCTATCGTCTATAGTAAAGTATATAGTATAGCCGCATAGCCGCTATAGCCGATTGTATAGTCTATCGTATAGTCTACCCTATACTCTGCAGTATAGTCTGTAGTATAGTCTACAGTGCATTGCATTGCGCAGCCCGTAGATAGTACAGTAGAATACGGCTTATTATACAATTCATTGAAAGGTATATAACCTAAGATAGCATATTGTGTTGACAACGTTTTATAACTACATTTTAAAAAAGCATGCAGCACCATAGCATAAAGGATAATAATGTATTATCAAACATGCTTTAACGAATGCAAACAACATTTTACAATATGATCTCGTCGTGTCATAAAACGTGCCTTACGGACCCTACTCGTTCTCGGAGCTTCGACCCCTGAAGACCTTGGTGAACCGAACAAGGCATCAATGTGTTTTGCTGTCTGTTCTCACATTCGTAACGCCAGAGGCCTGACCATACCGATCGCCCCAAACCGGGTACAAGCAGGCATGCGTTTCGAAGCACGTCGCACGTTCCGAAAGACACGCATGCCAGTAGACATCTGGCCCACAACCAATTAAGCTGTTGATCTACTGGTTCTGGCCAAATGGGATGTGGGATGAAAGCTAAGAACTATCGTTCACCCACTCACCCATCTTGCCATGCTCCCCAATAGTTCGGCCCAACCGGACCAGAGCTTAGGTTAATAACCCATTAACCCATTAGCCCAGTCGTTCTGACCAAGCGGGCGTTCTGGAGTAGGTTGTAGCCCGAACCCATTACTTAGCCAAATAACCCATTAACACATTCACCCAACAGTCGTCCAATCATTCTGACCAAATGGACATTGGAGCAGGCTGTAGCCCCAACGCATTGACGGGCCGTATTCGCGGCCATCACCGAGGAGATCATTCACCCTGAACATGTTATTAATATGATTCCTTCTCACGGCAATCCCCACGGGTTTGTCAGTTTGGACGCATCCCATGTTCAGTGGTATCTCCAAGGATGGCGCCACGAGATCTACAATCATCGGACTGGCCGCCGTGACCCGATGATTCGCCCAAGTGGGGATTGACCCTACTCCCAAGTCCATGTGGCCAGAAAAATTTGGGATAATGATGACAATGGGTTAATGCCTCCCAAGTCCGCTTCGCCAGGATGATTTGGTCAATGGGTTAATGGGTCCGTGGATTGTGGCCACAGCCTACTCAAAAGTCCATTTGGCCAGAATGATTGGGTCATTGGGTTGGGGGGCTATCGGTGTGTCGAAACAGACACGGATACAGAGCTTCGAAACAGACCCGGAAACGCGCAACGTAGACGGACGCCCTGTGCACGACACCCGAAACAGACGAACATGCAAAACTGCAGGTGCGAAATAACCACCTACCCATACTTGTGTGGATTTGTGTATGTGATATATATATATATGTATGTATATATATGTATGTATACCTGTATTTCTCATTATCTTTATATATATATACATACACGCAGAAGAATAATAAATGAAAATACAAACAATATATAAATAAAACAATGAATGCAGCACTTCAATCACATCTTTTCAGCGGACAGGTCTCAAATACACAAGCTTGGTTATCACATGTGAGACGAGTGATAGCGAAACAGCTCGAATGTCTAGCCCCCGAAGGCACACTGAAAGTTACCGAAGCGCGGTCTCCCACAGTATGCATGTGTCCGGGCTGTCATATGTATGTATATCATATATATATATATATTGTATGCATATGTGTATATATATATGTATATATATATACATACGTATGCCATGCTTACCTGTTTCTATTCATACTTCTGTTTATATATATATATATACGTATATAGGTATGTATGTATGTATGTATGTATAAGTGTCTCGGCCCGAGCCTTACACGAGTGTGGCCTTATGCTTTCGATCGTACGCTCATGGTTCGCTCTCTCGCTTCTTCTGACTCTTCAGTTGGGCCGCCCAGCTCCTCCTCCGAAAGCCCTGCACCTGACGACCCAGGTGCCCAAGCCGCTGGACTGCGAGTCGTTGAAGAGCAAGCCAACAGATTTAGGAAGAATCGGTTTGAATGGTTCAGGAGGCGCGTGGTTACCATTCTGTGTGAGCAAGCCATGGAAGATTGTCAACGTGCCCTCGAAGCCTCGGACAGACAACTTATGGTGCGTTTGTCATCTTTCAGAAGACGCTGCCAAGGGCGCACAGCTGCAAACGTTGTGGAGTTCACGCTTCCACTGCTGGACGTTGTGGCAGCCCAGCACCTGCATGAGGATGCCACGACGGTACTCAGCCTACTGGACTCACCGGAGCCTCCCGTCCCAATGACCGCAGCTGGATCCTTTCTGATCAGGTGGGCAGAGTTGGAGACCCACAGCGCCACCGGGTCGAGCAGTACTGCCCAGGTTAAGCAGCCCAGGCCGTGGTTGAGCGCGCCATGCTCAATGCTGGGGGATGCCTCTACAGGGACTTCATCCTGCTCTTCTGGAGACTTTTGTCAGACGAAGATCGGTACCAGTTTCAACAATGGTACCAAGGCAGGGCTGGGGATCAACTCGAGCTCGAGGAGGGCACCATGGACGCGAGGCGGGAACCCGCCAGTGGGTCGCGGGGCCCGACAAGCACCGGCCAACAATCGACGTGAGATGGGCCGCCCTGGTCCCAAGTCCAGGGACAGTGTGGTTATGGCTGCTCAACCGCATCTTGATGATTCGACCAGTTGCCTGAGGACATGTGCTTCTTGCAGACAGTTGGGGTCATTCCACACTGTAGACACGAGGGTTGGGGGTAATTTCGGTCGTTGTTCCCCTGCGAAAACAGCTAGCCCTAACTACTTCCCGCATACCGCGAAGCTGAACGACCCATTATGTAGACAACCTACTAGCCAAGCTACAGGTTCCCTTTCCACCTTTGACGCGATGTCCCGAACGGGATCGCTCAGGCACAGTGTTCCATATATGTTTTTCCGCGACGCTTTCCCCACATCCCAGCTCCCGAATCCTGGGCCACAGGCGTGCTCAGAGAGCAGTGCAAAGCTGAGCCCCCGAGTGATCCAGGCCGCCATCGGACTCCTTGAAGGGCACATCATCATGATCTTGATAGGCATAAGGCACCTTTACGAGATCAGGCCATATAGATACTGGATGTGCTGTCGAGTCCGCCCTGGCTCATATTGCCGGCGTCTGTGCAAAGTGCGCCCAAGTGCAGCTGTTGCACGCCACAGGCAGCCGCGGGTTGAGCATAAGGTTCATGCTAGGCCCTCACCCCACCGCAAGGCAACACCCTCCTCTTCCCGGATAGGACCCTACTGGTTGCGTAGACTTAGCATCCTCACCCTGAGCCTGTGGTGCCAGCCCTGCCTAGGGGCTCCGACTTTAGTTGCGACGACGGCAACTAATCCGTCACTGCTGCGTGTGCATGGCCAGGTGGCCGAGCGTCTGTCGACAGCCCGCAAACGCTCATTCAAGCGGGCCCAAATCAGAGCCCTGCAAAATGGTAGTACTACTTACCGTGGCCAGCATCATACTCTACAAAGCCTGTCATTGCAGTATGTAAGGCAAATTCTCGTCCCAGACACTGTTCTCCTTCTGTTGAACCCGGAATGCTAAAGGTAATCACTTGGAACTGTGGCGGGTTGCATGCTACTAGATAGGAGGAGCTGATGGCATGGCTGAATGAACCATCGCCGGACGGTCCGCACATTGTCCTAATTCAGGAGTGTCATTGGCCGCACAGCCTCGAGTTCAATAGTGATAAGTGGGTCCACATCTATTCAGGTATGGGTCAAGCCCAAGGGGGAGTTATGATCATCATTAGTCGGAAGCTGGCGAGGCCGGACCAGGTGCGCTTTGTTGAGCTTGCGCCAGGGCGTATGGTACACGCCAGACTTGCGTTGGAGCCGCCGATTGACATACTCTGCGTATACCAACGTGCATGGGCCTCTGCAGCTGATAGTTCACAGAAAGACGTGTCTCGCTCCGATTTTCAGTCTGCACTGCTTGAGAAGCGACAGCAGGTGTGGCACCGGCTGAAAGTTGGATTTCTTCGGTGCCAGCCCGTAACACCCTCCTGATAGGTGGTGATATGAACTGTGGCCTCACACCCTCTCACCCGAATATCGGACCTGGTGTACAGAACCACAAGCACCCACACTGACACCCGGACCGGTCAGTCTTTCAGCAACTAGTGACCTCCAAAGGTTTAGTGGCCATGAACACATGGGGCAGAGCGGGACCCAGGGCGGGCACCTTTTTGCAGCTGCAACAGCATAGTGTTCAGATTGATTATCTGTTCACACGCTTACCGTGCCACACCTCTTCGATGCGAGCCAAAGCGCTACACTCCGCACCAGTGGTCCACCCCACAGGCTTACGTCATGTACCGGTTCAGGTTTTTTTAGGCATCATGACCGACCCAGGCAGCCCCCCACAGCCGCCATGAAGCCCCATCAGGTTCGCAGCAGACCAAAGATCACCCTGAGCTTGTCCCAGCCTTTCAGTCTGCTTGCCTGCGCACAGCGTGGCTTCAATGTACTGTCGGAAGGAAGGGCACTGCCGTCTCCAATGCACCCGGCAGTGTACCAGAAGTGTCGCTGAAGCTGTATTGGGAAGCTAAATTAACAGGTACTCCAAGCACAGGGTCAAACCACGCAGTTCCTGGTGCCCCTGGTATGGCAGTTCTCCGATGCATCACCTACTGCAGTGACCCAACACTTCCCGCGTGCTGTGCAATCCCTTCGGCCGTTGTTTTGCCTGTGGCGAGCTGTGCAACGCCTTCACCATTTAGACAAGGCATTGCGGAAGCGTGTGAAGGAACGCAAAGTTGCTAAGGCAGATTCTCTCATATCTGAAGCGCAGCAACTTGACCGTCGTGGTATAGGGGCGTTGCATTTGGTAGCTCGCAGCATCAGGCCTAAACAGCCAAAGTCAAAGCGCTCCATTCATTTTCGCACTGACGCGGGGTTCCTTATGACGGAACAGCAGGAGGTTCAGTGCTTGAAGGACTTCTTTTCGGACTTGTATCAGTCTCAGCAATGTAGTAATAGGTCGTATATCCTGGACCAAGCCTTGGAAATCACGGAATGGGAGGTTGCAGAGCATGGGTAGAGGGGTTAGACAGGGATGTGGTCTATCGCCTTTGTTGTGGATCGCAGTCACCCTTCTTATCCACACCGAATTGAGTGAGTATGTCCCCCTTGAAGCTCAAACTAGCTATGCCGATGATTTCCATATTCAGTGGGAGTTTACTACCGAAGTGGGCTTTCGACATGCTTGTACTACTATCCCGCGCATCCTGACGGATTTGGCCTCCCTCGGCATGGAAGTTTCGCTTAGCAAGACTGTCGTGCTGCTAGCCATCAAAGGGACACTGGCACCCAAGCTCCTGAAGATCTTCAAAAAAAGGCTGAAAGGTGAGAGGGTCTTTAGTGTTCAGATTCCTCAGGGATCCACCCAGTTACCGCTGCGCAGGGTACATGACTACCTTGGAATCAAGTCAAAATCAGTTACTACAATTTCGAGAAACTGACTGCGCAACATAGACTGCGGTTGTCCTGGGTAGCCATGCATAGGTTGCATGATCTGTTGAAACATCGTCTCTTACCTTTGCGCAAAAGGGTCCTTTTGTGCCAGTCTTGCGTGTGGTCAGTGGCCAATTTTGGCTTGACGGCGACAGGCCTCGACCCGGCAAGTGCACAACAGTTCCACTCAGGGATTATGAAACAGTTACGCGCTGTAGCGCGGAGCCCGGCACATCTGTCTCATGAAACCAATGCTCAGATGCTACATAGACTTCGCCTTTCAGACCCCCTTTCATGGTTATCCCGTAGCTGCCTTGCCAGGGTTCAGACCTGTAAGCAAATGGTTGCACATCTGCAGCCCTCTCGTGTACACCAGTGGTGGTCGCTCTTGCCGGCTAGCTTTAGGTTGCCTGATGCACCTACACAGGGCCTGGGTATCCTCACTGAGGTAACGCAGATTCTTCGTATCCAGTGTCAGTGTGCTGCATGTGGTCAGACATTTCCGAGTGCCCATGCCTTGAAAGTGCATATGGGCAAGCGCCATCCTGAACTGCAGCCACGCCATGAACCTAACCCCACTGTCAAAAACCGGCGCAGAGACGAGTACCGACAACACGCTGTTAAGGGCATGCCACAGCGCAGATTCTGTATGAAGAAGTTCTACGGCTGGCCGCAGTTCATGGGACATTTTAGTCAGTCCGCCTGCCCTGTCCTCCATAAACCCCGGAGCTAGATGCCAACCTTAACACTGAGAACATATCCCAAACCACTGTGGATACGACTGCATCCCCTTCAGCCTCCCTACCAGATGGAGCAGGGCAGTTAAGGCCGACTCATGCCGCTGCCGTAGTGTTGGCAACGGATGAAACTGTGATACTGAGGCCCCACTCCCTTGTTCCACAGACGGGACCTGCAAGCATTGGCCGCTAACCGCGCTATAAAGGAACTTGGCAAAGCTATCGGGGACAGTGGCCTGCTCAACCACTGCCCAGAGTGTTTCCAGTGGGTGTCGAAGCCTTCATACCTCACGCGACATGCGGTCAAGATGCATGCAGCGGTCCGTGAGTGCCAGGATGCAGTGCAGTTTTGGGCCCAAAGCCGATTAGGCCTGAGCAAGCCCTGCCAGTGGTGTGGCGACAACACCTTCACCCGATTGGGTGCGCATCTCAAGTCCTGCCCAGTGTTGTGGATGATAGGCCATTTCTTGAGTAGATTTAGCACCCTTGCTGATCCCGGTCAGGAAAAGCTCCATGGCCGACCTGTCAGAGGCGATGCAAGAAGCCCGAGCCGAGTTCGACATGTTCGGAGCCTACATGCAGACACCCAGTGCATTGCTGAAGAAGGAAGAGGGCAACACGGCCCCTCCGACAACAGCAGGGCAGGTAGCAGCGGCCCCTCCGGCCAAGTGGGCCAAGGGAGAGGCGAAGGGCGAGAAGAACGACGAGGCCCAGACAGGCAAAGGTCGGGCGACGGAAGCAGCCCCGCGGCCACCGCAGCAGGCGACCCCTGCACCGGTTCCGGGCTCGACATCCCCGAATCAGACTGGGAATCCAGGGCAGCAGCGGGGCCCGCAGCAACGGCAGCAGCTAGCCAGCTGGAAGCGGCCGGATGGCTATCGCCAGTGGCCCAACCGCTACAACACCGCGAGGGCTAATGGGAAAGCAAGGAGGCCAAGGAGCTTCGGGAGCTCAAAGAGGCTATGCGGGCGTTGAGCAGGTTGACCTTGCGGATCGAGGATGCTGTCGGAGTGATTCAGCTCGACAGCGAGTTCATATTTTTCCTCCAAACGGAGGCAGCCGGCAACCGGTGGGCAATCAACCGGTCGGCAGTCACCCAGCAGCTGTACGCCACTGCAGTCCAGTGGCACAAGCAGAAAGAGGAAAATCCGGAGTCCCTCACGATTCCGATGAGGAACATCCTGCTGTACAACCTGTACAATGCCCTCCTCATGAAGCTGGAAGCCCTGGAAGTGGACCAAGAGCTGATGGACACGGCAAAGGCCAGAGGTCTCATCGAGGACGACGTATCTGTGTTTGCAATGGGATCCGGCGACTCGGCGCCACGTGCGGGCCTCGATGCAGCCGGTGGAGCACGCAGATATGGTCCAGATGGTAAAGACTCTGAAAAACCTGGCGACGTTCCCGAACGTCATCGGGATTTCATGCACTGCGGAAAATGGAGGACAACCTCAACGGGGATATTATCCCCTTTTCCCTCGTTGCCCAGAACAGGACCGCCGAATCCCACCAGCTATGGACGATCATGAGCAGGTTGCAGCGCAGCAGCATTTGGCACTTCATAGGTGCCACGACGAGGCCAGCCAAACCTGGCCGCTCGCCGCTAGCCAAGTATGTGGAACGCGTGACGAGGCAGTTCTAGGCCCGGAGTGCACCACCATCTGTGACCTTAAGCTGTCGAACCCCAGCAACCACTGCTACACCAATTCCCTCCTGTTAGCATTTAGTTGGATGGCTGCCCTGACCCCACAGGGCCTCGCAATGCCTCATCGGGCCATGGGCCGTTCTATGCGCTGGCTCGTCCGCCCCTCGCATGCCCAGGCCGCACGGACTGTAGCAGTTTGGTCTCTTAGACCGTGGCGTAGCCTGATGGAAATGTGGCAGGAGCCACACCAGCAGCACGATGCAGCCGAGTTTTTGCAGTTTATTGCTCCTCTGCTGGTGTCAGATCATGACCGTTTGCATGTGTGCTGGCAAGCACGAGAGCTCTGTGATCGCCATTCCCCTCCTTCGTCCCAAGCCCCAGCTCAGGTTATCGATCAGGGAACTCTGTGGCCGATGACAGTCGCTGCACGCCTTGCCTCTCCGTTGCACTCAGCTGAAGCACACGCCGAGCACACCCGGCCCATCAGCTTGCAATCGCTCATAATCCAGTGGCGGAATCAGGCATCACGGCACGCGTTGTCGGCAGCGCCAGCCTGGCTTGTGCTTCAGGTGAGTCGTTTTGATGACTCAGGCCGAAAGCTTGTGGCGCCCGTAAGCATTAGTGATGCGGTTTATATACTTTACTTCACAGGGGAATCCCTGACGACCTCTTCCGCAAGGTACAAGGTGCTAGCCGCAGTGTACCATTTAGGGCCGTCAATGCTTACCGGGCACTACAGGGCAGCACTCTGCCGTGATGGCAACATACAACATGTCACTGATGATGGAGTTTCGGCACGTGTAGCTACCGCTGAGGATGTACAGCAGATTCAGTCTAATGCATATCTGTTTTTCGTGCGGAAGTGCTGAATTAGGAACACGAACAGGCATTGCTGGTAGGGATGGTGAACTAATTCTTTTCTCTGTTTATGTGTTATCGCTAGTGGTGTTGATGTTATGGGAGGAATATGTGACAATACCAGCCTCAGATGCCTCAACTTCTTACAGTGCAGGCCCGCCGGTGGGTCCATCACCATGGGGCGGTCACGCCACGATGGGCCCGGTGTTGAAGTTGAGGTTGGGTATCATACTGCCTGTTATGTTGTACTTATATGCCCTTAGTCTGATAGCTTTCAGTTGGATGGGCTCGAGAGTTCTTTTTGCCTTGGTGGAAGGGGCGCCTAACACATGGCGTGCAACCAACCGAGTTGCCGGCTTGCAAAGCTGCCCGCATCGCGAGGAC